TAATAGGCTGAAGCAGAAGGGGAAACCAAGGCAGAACCCAGTGGTCTGAGTTGAGATGATGTTGGCAGTCCTCTGAGGGCAAGGCAGCCACAGACCACAGAGCAGAGTGTGGATGAAAATGCTGCCCAGAGGAAAAGCTCAGGATTTGCACACTGGGATGTTTGTGTCTTCACTAATGATCAGCATATGCATGTAAAGAAACTACCCTGAGGCTCAGGAAATAACATCAGAAAGGATCAAAGGGAAGAATCTCCAAAGTTTAAAGAGGCTGGAAATTGTGTTCCCATGGGCCAGGGTGGGGTTGTAGGGGAGCATAATTCATAGAGCATCAAGTACCCAGAAGAGTATCACTTCAGTAGTACGGTAACCTTAGCCCTAGATAAATGGCTCATCTGGTCCTCCTTAACAGTTCCCAAGTAACTTAAATGCATCTCAGAATAAAGCTCAAGAATATGAACAGGATACAAAAAAGAAAAGATGGTCTCATACAAAATAGATAAATAAGGTCCTACTGTATTGCACAGGGAACTATATCCAATGGCTTGTAATAACCTATAATGAAAAAGACTATGAAAAAGTATATATATAAAATTGAATCACTACGTTGTACACTAGAAACTAATACAACATTGTAAATCTGCTAGACTTCAATAAAATAATACTTTTTAAAAGACAGGGGAAAATGTCTCGTCAGCTTACACTTTAAACCAGAAAAAAAAAAAACTAAACCCAAAATAGGCAGAAGAAAGAAATGAGTAGAAATCAGTGAAATAAAAAGCAGAAAAAGAGAGAAAATCTGATGAAAACAAAATCTGATTATTGGAGAAAATGAAATTGATAAACCTCCAGCTAATCTCATCAGGATAAAAAAAGAAAGATGTAAATTAACAATATTAGAAATGAGAGAGGCTATCACTAAAGACCTTACATATATTAAGAGATAGTAAAGGAATGTCATAAACAACTTAGGTTCCCAAACGGAGACGAGAAAGGACCTGAGAAAATACTTGAAGAGATAATAGCTGAAACTTCCCTAACTTGGGAACGCAAACAGTCACTCAAGTCCAAGAAGCCCAGAGTCCCACACAGGATTAACCCAAAGAGGAATACTCCGGGGCACATAGTTATCAAACTGACAAAAATTAAAGATACGGAGAAAATATTAAAATCAGCAAGAGAAAAGCAACAAACACCACACAGGGCAACTCCCGTAAGGTTATCAGCTGACTTTTCAGCAGTTAAAATATTGCAGAGTAAATGCAGGATTGGGAGGACTCAGCAGATAGGATTGAGGGTAGGGTCAAGACAGAAATTAACAGTGGCAATGCAAAACTGGGAAGATGTCAGTTTTGGTGAAAAATAGTAAACAGCAGAGGCACAGATTTGGTGTTGGAAATTGACTGAATATTTTGTTTGAAACAGGACAAATTTACAATGCTTGTAAGATACCCAGTATTTAATAGCTAATAATCAAGAGTTCTTTGTGTTAAGTGCTACACTAACCAGGTGGTTGGAAATTGGAGGCTGCAGCTCAGTAAAAGGAAATACAGTACTAGAGGTCATGTTTATACAGAACTGATTGCTTACCACCTCTGATTATCACACTGTGGCTATTACTACATTAAATAGAGTAGCATACTTTTTAAGAGACTTTCTTCTATTCAGTGAATCTTAGGGTGTTCTTCTCAAGGCAAGAAAATAATCATTATAAAAAACTAAAGGTACTGTAAATATACTCCTTAAGTATTTTTTAGAAAACGCTCATAATAAAGATAATGCAACATGAGTCATTTTGTCTGGAAGTCTACCGTCAAATGTGCCTGCTATTCCAACCTGGCATTCCTCTAAGAAGTCCTGTGGTGCCCACACTCGGACAAGTCCAAACTCACTGGCAAGGGCCTCTCCTCCCTCACTCCCAACCCATCCTCACACACGCAGTTCATCACCTTTAGAAACCAAAATGGCTCAAGGCCTTTAACCACAGAAGGCAGCTGAAACAGCTGGTCTCCGGAGAAGTCAGTATGCATAGCCTCACCATCTCTGGACCAGCTAAACCATCAAGTCCCAGGATTCTAAATTTACGTATCTGATAGCCAATTACTTTTTTTAAAGAGACACTTCTAATAGACTGTCTCATTTAAGTGGCTACCTCCAGTACACAGTTTATTCACCAAATGACAAGCTGTACTTTGAATAAATGGGAGAAGGCATTCCACTTGATGATAAAAGACAAGCAGTGACAATTTTCATTGTGCAAATACCATAGTAAGGAGATGACTCTGAAAACAAGAGAGATTCAAAATGCTATCACTTACAAGAACACTACAAAATATTGAAGGTGCAAAGCCTTGGCAAGAGTTCACTGCCACACAACTTGATTGCCCAATGTTCAAAAATCTTTCTTTTGGTAGTAATTTTGAGCACTGGAAGAGTCTGTTACCAATTACTTAGTTATAAAAATAAGCTGTAAATATGCAAATAAATGTCTCAGAAAATAGGTGAAATTATTACTCAACAGTGGCAAGATTTTAAATTTTCATTTTATTAAAAATATAGCAACACAGGAGCAGCAGCATCTGATAAATCTTTACTAGTACCATATGGAAGTAGTCCTACTCACATATAAATAATACACACCACCTAAGCAGCACTTAATGTTTACATAACTCTTCCCTTGATAATTCATAGCAATATGTAAAGAAGAGCCTTACCGTATTAATCCTATTAAGATAGAGAGTAATAATTACCTATTCAACGGAACTACCTATACAACTACACAGTATACTCAAAGGTAACCTACTGTGGAAGTCAGGGAGATCTGTACAAAGTTCCCCAACAGAGTGCTGCCCACCAGTAACCCTGGAGCTGGTAGAACTCAACTCGAATTCTTTCAGCACAATTTTCATGAATTTGAACTTACCTATATAGTTAAGAAATTAGCTATCTAGCAAATAAAAGTTAATCAGTGGGGGAGGGTATAGCTCAGTGCTAAGAGTGCATACCTAGCATGCATGAAGTCCTGGGTTCAAGCCCCAGTACCTCCACCTAAAAATAAATAAATCAACCTAACCATATCCCCCCAAAATAAATAAATTAAATTGTACAAAAATAAATGTTCTAAAACAAAACATTTTAAGTTAAGAATGGAGGGAACTATTACTCCATTCCAATCCTGGAAAAATAAATCTTACTGGTAAAATCTGTGAAGTGTCAGAAAAGCTGGCAATTTTCAAAATTAAAATGTAGCTAAGTACAAAGTAAATTTAAAAATCAGGCAACAGACAAAAAAAATCTGCTTTTAAGAACAATATACTAAGAAATGTGGTATTTTATATAAACAATTGTAACAAATTAATTGCTATAAACTCAAAGCACCTTAAAATGTAATAGAAAGAAACCTAGTTATTTTACTAAAGCCAACCTAACTGAATATGGACCAAAAATCATTAAGAGCTTTAACTTTTACTTTTAAAATAATGTACCAATCTTTGGCAGAATCATCAATAAAAGTGTATTTAAGAAAAACAAATTCACCCACAAACCCCAGATTAAGTAGGGAAGTCAATTTTATTTTAAAAGATTATTTTATTACATTTATACTCGACCCCTGCTTCCAGAAATATAACCTAGCCCTTTTAAGAGCACTAACTTTTGCAATTTAAAGATAAACAATTTAATTTTAAATGACTACATTAGTAAATGAACATGAGACAATACTAAGTATATGGGTAGTGAAATTTTTTAAAATATATATTTAAACACATAAGGAACATAGTAACTTTGTGGAAATGGCTCTACTTCACAACTCACCCAGTTAAAACCAGATACTATCTTTCACTGAAAATATAAGAAATGTCTCATTGAAATTGTTACTCAATGCATTCCTCCAAAAGGATTCATTTTAACTGCTAATTCAACTACTTAAGAAAGATTTAAATCAAATCATATTATTTCTAATAGATTTTTTAAAAAACTTTTAAAAGTCTATTACTATATATTATAATCCTTAAATCTGAGTATCTTTAGATAAGAGCAGATTTGGCTCAAGGTTCTGTTTTGTTTTGTTTTGTTTTGAAGTTTTAAAATAAAAATAGCAACATGTATGTAAGAATGAATGAGGGTCCAGAAAATGACTAATATAACGAAAGAAATTATTTTCTTGACAAAAAAATTGATTCTAAGTGCCAGTTTTTACTTTTAATTGAGCATGTCAAAAATTTAAGCCTTCAATACTTCTGAAGATCAACATAGCATTTACTGAACCTCTTAGAAAATAAGATTCTAAACAGAAAATCACAAGCTGACTAGTGTTTCTAACTATGTTAGATTTGATAAAAAATAATAACCAAGGACATAGTTGCAGAAGTTAAGGATTTCTACCTGTTTCCTCAAATGAAACTGGCTAACTTATGAAGGACCATCTTTTATTACTAGTTACATGTGAAAAGCAAGAACAACAGGAGCAACAGAATTTGGTTAGAATGGTGAAGAGCAATGACAATTTAAGGATCAGAATGTACTTGCTATATAATCATGTAAAGCTAACAAAGAGAATTTACAGAAGGTATCAAGCGTAAAATGGCTGTCTTCTTGGCCTTACCTCAAGTTTTCCTCATATCTACCTGGGATGAAAAAGATAGTTACACAGAAAATAAAAAAAAATCTTAAAAGAAAATAATGAACAAATGAAAACTATCAGCTTATAAATGAACAAAAAGAAAATGTCTCTCTCCCTCTTTCTCTCTCTCTCTCTCTCTCACACACACACACACATACACCGCAACAGTTTTAACCCCTAGAAAACTTTGTTTCTCCCTAAGCCTGTTTGAGAAGATGATATCACTTTCTCCAGATCTCCTGTACTCCTACTCATGCCGAATTTTTACAAATCAGTGTCTTTCAAGATTAGTATGATTATTTTAAAGCTGAATAAATCATCATCAGCAAGAATAAATAATAAATAGCATCAGCAAGAAAAACAATCAGCTGCTGAAACCAAATTAAATACATTAATTACTGACATAAAAAACATTTAATGGAGTCCAGAGTACAAGAAAATACTTAAACTTGAAATGACTGCTTTATAGAAGCCACACAAACATGCACTCTCCATGTCAAAACAGTTTCTAAGCCAACTAAAACAAGAACGTGATAAAACTAAGATGCTGTTTCAAAATGCATAAACAAATACTTTCCTCTAAAATACTTAGCTTTATTAGAGAAACGGTACTAAAAATAACAGATTCAAACATTTGCTCTATTCTACTTACATATCATAAATAAGACAGCTGTTGATGCAAGACACACATTCCTTCCTTCGCAATCTTTCCATATGCACCCAAGCATTCTTATAGCAGAATAAGCTGTTTACCAGCCAACCGTATGTGGTTGAATGACTAAAATGACCACCTATACTTTACATAGTAAAGCATTTTCAAAAATTTTAATGTACACAGTGACAAAAAGAGAAAAAAAACAGTAATTCTGAACACATGAAGAGTAATTAAGCAGCTTCATAATCAAACCAGGCTTTATCACTTACAATAAGGACAATTCTTTCCATTCTCCACCAAATACCTTGTTTCAATAGTATTAACATTAAAAGAAAACTCAAGTTGAAACCAAGTAACTGATGTGTTACCCAGCTTTTTAAATAAGTAACTCTTCCCATGAGGTAAGGCAACTGAGTAATTTGATTGTATTAGATTACATTAAAACAATTATACTTGATTTTTTAATAACATGCTAATTAAAAGGTATAACTTTTTTGGAACTGTAACAATGAAGAGTTCAGAAACTACAAGCTGTGGTTTGGGGGAAATTTTAGCAATGTTGTCATTTTACTATTTGCATACTTTCTTCAAAAAGTGTGCCTAACAATGTCGGATGACCTATATTTTAAACTCAAGTAAACACATCTTTACACATAAAACAAATCATCTTATATATTCACCTTTAAGTACAATTTCTGCACATCATTTATGAGAAGATGATTGAGAGGTAATAATTAAGGCCATCCAATGTAGACAACCAAACGGTTTGCTTTAAGTAAAATAAGAACATGCTGCTTCATTTTTAATTATCACAGTATAAAACTGATGGTCCCAAAACGGCTTTGTTGTTTTAAGCTCTAATGTCATTCCTGAAAACAGGACTTCTCTCTCATATTATGTGAACTAAAAGAAGCTCTTCTGACATACCACTTGCACACTTCTCTATGGGAGTGAATGGAATATCCATCTAAATTCCATATGAGTTGAGAATGACTAGCACATATAAAATTCTAGAAAACAGTATATACCACATTGTAGAAGGCACTAAAGCTTCAGCTTGTGCTCCCATAGCCCATTTTGAAAACCCAGTCTTCTTTTTATAAATGGCACCTTTGCCACCTACAGCTGACCAACACACACTGCAATATTGTTCATAAGCTTGGAAATGTCAAGAAAGTTCAAAAAGAAATGCCTACTTTGTGGGGAGACCCAAAGATTCTAAACACTGAATACTAATGCATGATTAGTATTCAACACAGTTGCTCTTCCTTTTGAAAAAGAACAGTAGCATGCATTGTCAGTTGGTTTTTAATCCACTTATTTAAGCAATTTTAATCTGTAAAACTATTTTTAAAGAAAAACTGCTGTCCTAAACAGTGAGCAAAAGAAAACACAATAGTGAGAATTTAACACAATCACTGTAAATCCTGTGAAGTAAATGTTAAAATTTCTTATACTCTGCACTTACAAGGGTGTGTATATATTTGCACCGATTTCAAGCACATCATCAATCTGTATATACTGAAATTAAAAAAAAAAAAGTAAAACAATACAAAATTCAGTTACTACCATTTTTTAAAAGAGCCTCCAACACTTATCTCCAGTCTTTATGGACAGTACAAATTTGGATCTTTGACGTCCCATTTTCTTTGTAATGGTTCTTGGCAAACACTAACAAACCACATGACAAGTGTGTCAGCCACCATGGAAATGCACAGATTTTAGAAGATGAGGAGTTTGGGTAACACCTGTTATTTTCACGGTGTCCATGCTTTATTTTCTTACTCAGTAACAAGATGGCCACCAAGTCATCTAACAACTAGAAAAGCTGTTAGCTCGTATCTTTATGCTCTACTGGACTTCTTCACTGTCTAACATCTTGCTGAGAGAATTAAAAGCTTTGGATTTTATTCCAGCGTGTGCTTCGAGGTGCATCTGTCGGTCCTATACTGCTTCTGTTTTGGTGGAGAGGTTTTCATCGTTGGGCTGACAATTTCCGTTCTGCTGTACTTTGTTTTCCTCAGTCCTTGGTGCGTCTTTGTCTTCTACCTCTTTGCCCATGCCTGAATCTGGTTCTTTATTGTGCTCCTTCTCCTACAATGAATGTTAAGGTACACATTCAACATTGTTCCCAAGAGTGGCCTGCTATTGCATCTAGTTATGGCTAAAACATCTAATTTTATCTTCTGGGAACTAGTCAAAGTGGATATTCTCTCTCATTATCTTTCACATAAACAGGACGTGCAAACACGTATCAATATGTCCTTTGTACATCTCATAAAAGATGGACAATCCATGAAGATTAAGTTAGAATAAAATAGGTAAACAGAAACTTTAGAGAAGAACTCAATAAATGTTGCTGATTGACTTGAGAAAGTGGAACATATCTGCTGAAAGTAAAATAGTTCCCACAGATGCTAGGATAGGTTTATAATCTGCGTACCAAAGAAACAAAAACAAGGGACTGTAAAAAAGGAAGTCACTATTCATCCTACCAAAGACTGCTCAAGACAATCCAAATTCAGCCCTCAACTTGAGGGAGAATTAAATGAGAACACTTGGGACAGTGCTTCGAATACAGTAAATGCTCAAGAGATATTATCAATGTTACTGACAATGATGATAAATCTCTATCAGTGTGAGAATAAATAAAACTGTAAGATGAATGCTCCAGAACTCATAACTGATTTCCAAACACAAATATACTTACCAGTATACCACTATAAAAGGAAATTAACATAATTCACAAGTACTCAAAATATTTATCAAAATTTAAAAAAACCCTTACTTGGTGGAATTTGGCTTCTCATTAATTATTCTAATTCAACGAACCTAAACTTCAGTATATATTACAAAACCAATGATAACAGATCATCCGTCAAATCTGCTAAAACAAATATAGTGAGAAAAACTGCATCAAGCAGGAATCTTCCTGTAGACAGTTAAATGGTTATTGTGTGCCATTCTATGATTCTCTAAAATAAGGGATGCATTGTTTACATTTTAATTAGTTCTTATCTTCAAAAATTTAGATTAAAAAGCTACAAATTTAACAAACATTAAATAATCCCAAAAATGTGCAAGACACTGTTACTCTCAAGCAGCTTCTACCTAAAACCACCTCTATGCAATAAAGGACAATCTCAATTATTAACTATTCAAAGCCTCAACAATGACTTGCTTACTTTAAGTGAAGTATTGTTCTTCTCCACCTTTTCCTTTCCATCTCTGTCATTAGAACTCTTTCTTGTAGAGGTTGAACGCTCTCTCTCTCTTCTTTCACTGATATGGTCCCTTTCTTTTTCTCTCTTTTTATCCTTCTTATTTCTGCTGTAAGATATTAATAGTACGTCAGTTAACTGCTAAAAAATTAAACACCCACCATACTGTTGACAAGATATTCTCACCTAACATTAATGCATCGCAAATAAGTATATCACTAACCTGGGTGACCAAGTACCATATATGAGTCCTGCAACCTATCTAACTCCACTCCATACCCCAGTTTTTAAAGACACAAGTCATTCTGCAGAGGCCACCACGTGTTCACATAAAACACAACTTTGTAATATCAATTTCAGTTTTGAAATATTCAAGATTTACCAATCAACTGTAATTAGGAAAAAACAAAATCAAATACAAAAAACTGACTAAGTAGAAAAGAATAAAAAGGATATGGGAGAAGTGGGTATAGCTCAGTGGTAGAGCTCATGCTCGGCATGCATGAGGTCCTCAGTTCAATTTCCAATACCTCGATTAAAAAATTAATTTTTAAAAAGGATAAAAAGGATAAAGAAACAGATACAGTTCTCAGGCAAGGCTGAATGACTTCTAGAAAAACCTGAATTTGAAGTGAAAAAACTTCAAATAACCAATGGTGCCCTCCTCTCATTCACAATTACGAAGAAGTCCCAGCACCAATTCAAGAGCAAAATTTAAGCCGAAGATGCAATGAACAAGTTCCATTTGTAAAAATAACATATCCTTAAAATTACAAGGAAAAAAATGACGCATTTCATATCAGAAGCATGTTTAACAGACACCTTCTACTTAAAATAATTAGCCCTAACATGAAATTCTGAACTTTTTTCCTAATTATGAATAGTTCAAAAATAAACACAAAGTCCAGGGGGAACAAACAAAAACTCAGGAAACAGACCCAAGTACCTATGAAAATTCAGGGGAACAAAGGGATGGCATCTTAAATCACTGGGGAAAAGATGGTTCTTTTATAAATAAAAGACTTGGGGACAATTGGATTATTATTTGGAAAGTGACAGAACTGGGTCCATATCTCATTCACATAAATAAATAAATTCAAATGGATTAGAGATCTAAAATTTTTAAAAGGAAACAATAAAACCACTAGAAGAAAACATGAATGCATTTCTAACTTGAGTGAAAAGATTTTTTAACCATAACTAAAATTCCATGTATGATAAAAGATTCATAAGTAAGCCTGAATAAACTTATGCAAAGCTAAAAACCCACTACTAGCATATTCAGAAGAAAAATAACAAACCAAGAAAAATATATTTGCAACACATTTGGGTATGTATGTTTATATATAACTCTTAGAAGTCAGGACACAACTGCATCAAAGAGAATAATATTCTTACAAATAAATTTTATCAGAAAGGCAAAAATTTTGCTGAAAGAAATAAAGACATAAATAAATGGAAAGACATCCCATGTTCCTGGATCAGAAGACTTACACAGAGTTAAGATAACAATAGTATCCAAAGCAATATACAAATTCAATGCAATCCCTAAATCTCATAGGCATTGATAGAAATAGAAAAACCCAGCCAAAAATTCATATGGAATCTCCAGCGACATTTAATAGCCGAAACAATCTGTAAAAGAACAACAAATTGGAAGACACACAATTCCTGATGTCAAAACTTATTACAAATCTGTAGTAATCAAACAGTGCAGTACTGGCATAAGGACAGACACACAGGCCAGTAGAAAAGACAGAAATACATGGTCACATATATGGTCAAATGATTTTTGACATAGGTGTCAAGATCTATTCAATAGAGAAAGGACAACCTTTTCAACAAATGGTGCTGGGAAAACTGAATATCCACATGCGAAACAATGAAGCTTGACCCTTACCTTACACCACATGTAAAAGTTAACTCACAATGGATCAAAGACCTAAATATATAAGCTAAAACTATTAAACTCTTAGAAGAAAACACGGGAAAATCTTCATGACATTGGTTTTGGCAATGATTTTCTGGATATAACAAAAGACAACAAAAGGAAAAAAAGATAAATCTTATTTCATCAAAATTAAAAACTTGTGCATCAAAAGATACTTAGAACAGTGAAAAGACAACCCACAGTATGGGAGAAAATACATGCAAATCAGGTATCTGGTAAGGGATTAACATTCACAACATAAAAACTACAACTTAACAAAGAGCCAAATACTCTAATTCAAAATGGGCAAAAGACTAGAGTAGACATTTCTCCAAAGAAAATATACAAATGGTGAATAAGCACATGAAAAGATGCCCAACATTACTATTCATTACAGAAATACAAATCAAAACCATAGTAAGATACCATTATATACTCACTAGAATGGCTATAATCAGAGAAAGACAGTAACAAATGTCAGTGAGCACACAGAGAAATTCAAACACTCACACATTGCTGACGGGAATGTAAAATGGCACAACCACTTTGGAAAACAGTTTGGCAGTTTCTCAAAAAGATAACGAGAGTGTTCCTATATGACTTAGCAATCACCACTCCTAGGTATATACCCAAGAAAAATGAAAACATGAGACGACACCAGAACTTGTACATAAACATTCACAGCGTTATTCTTAATAGCAAAAAAATGGAAACAATACTAAAAGTCCATCAATGAGTGATGAACTAAAGCGTGGTTTATCCATGTAATGGAATATTATTCACTCATAAAAAGAAATAAAGTACTGATTCGTGCCTCAACATGCATAAATCTTGAAAATATTACATTTAGTCAAAGAAGCCAGATACAAAAGACCACATGTACTATGTAAGTCTATATGAAATGTCTGTAACAGGCAAATCCACAGAGACAGTAGATTAGTAGCTCTCAGGAACCATGGGGAGTAACTGCTAATAGGTACAGGCCTTCTTTGAACTAACAAAAAAATGTTCTGGAGTTAAGCAGCAGTGATGGTTGCACAAAATTGTGAACATACTAAAAAGCCACTGAACTGCACATTTAAAAGAGTGAATTTTATGTTACATGAATTACATCTCAGTTTAAAAAATAACTCAGGATGGAAGCAAGACTGGGTATAGTCATTAACCATATACAGACTTACACACATACAGTGTATATATAGTGAATGCTGTCTTTTGTGAAGAAAAGGAGAAATTCAAATGTATGTGTCTGATTAATTTTATTTTATTCTTCCTGTGTTTCTTTTTACAAACAGTTGATCACTCACAGAGGGTGGATGCGGAACGAAGTAGAAGGAATGGGGAAGGAAGTGATACTGTGCAAATTTTTTGTCTAATTTGAGTTCACAACTAAGAAAAGTTTTGACTTTCATGAGTAAAGTATTTTTTAAAATACAAATTTGACCTGCCTCTACAGTATCCCTAATGCCTTCCATTATTCTCACCTAAAAATAATTCACAAACAAAAGAACCCTGATGAGAAACGTGCTTCTTCTACCCTAGCAAAACTTTTTATAAATTTCTCTTTTCTATACTTAGAAGATTACAGAAAACCAAATGAAAAACCATGACCCATCAGTAAAATAATGGGCTGAAAAAATAAATACCAAGAAATCAATACCCTTCCTAGGTAGGTACAAACCCAGTCTCCAATTACATGACATCATGGAAGAAAAGACCTCATCTGCAAGAACAGAAAAGTAAAAAATATCTAGGAATAAACTTCAAAAATACATAAAACCTGTATGAAACAAACACTGAAACATTCATGAAAAACACTAAGGATGGTCTGAATAAGTAAGCCATCCATGTTTCTGGATGAAAAGATTCACCATCATAAAGCTTTATTTATTAATAGATCTATTTATCAATTTTCCTATGTTAATTAATAAACTTAATAAAACTGTAATACAAATTATCAGTAGGTTTTATTTCTATAACCTAGACAACTGACTCTTAAGTTCAAACAGAAAAATAAATACACAAGAATGGTCAAGAATGCTCAAAAAAAAGAGCAATATGAGGATGTGGGGGAAAATAGGCCTTACTAAACATTTTAAAATACTATACAATCTGAATAATTTAAAGCAAGAGGCACCAGTACATAAATCATCAGTCAAACCAATCCAACAGCATGGAAGGCCCAGAAATAGACTCCAATACAGACAGAAAAATTTAGTACGTGACATAAGCAACATATCATATTAGGGTTAGAAAAACTGAATTTTTAATAAAATGATATTAGAACAACAAAGCAGCATTTGGAAAAATAAAACTGGACCCATATGCCATATTGTACATAAGGATAAACTTCTAATGGATCAAAGACATAAATGCAAAAAATAAAACCATAAAAGTATAAACAACAGCAATGGGGGAATTTTATTATAATCTTGGAACAGAAAAGACCTTTCTCACTTTAAGACTCAAAATGTGGAAGTCTCAAAAAAAACTGAGAAATTAAACTATATAAAAATCAAACACCTCTATAAAATCAAGTCTCATGAACAAATAGGAAAAAGGACAAACTAGGAATGATATTTGAAATCAAATCACTGGAAATAGGGGGGGAAAACAAACACAAAAACAGACCCCACAAAAAAAATGGGCAATGTATACAATTCACAGAAAAAGAAATACAAATGGCCTTCAAATATATGAAGAGATGTTCACCTCACTCTTAAGAGAAATGCAACTAAATTTACTGCAACTGTACCATTTCTCATCTATCAGATGGACAAAAATCCACAACTCTGGTAACAATGTGTCGTAGCTGTAGGGAAACAGGCACGCATACGCAGCTGATTAAAGTGCAAGCCGCTGCCAATCCTTATGAAGAACAATATGGAAGTAAACATCTCTCAGTATTATGAACACCTCACCCTCTGACCCAACAATACCATTTCTGGAGAATTTTCCTGCATACTCGCATATTATAAAATGATGTAAGTCCACAGTTGTTCACTACAGGCTTGTAAAACTCATAAAAGACAAATTAAGAAAGCCCATTCTACCACAGGCCGGTTACCTAAACCAAGGTACTGTCACACACTGGAAGCCCATGCAACTGTAAAAAGGAATGAAGTAGCACTTTCTGATGAATACAGAAAGTTCTCCTGGTAGTTAAGAGACAAAAGCAATTATACAACACTGTGTATTCTGTGCTACCCTTTGTACCTATATACAAAAAAACTAGTAAAGCCATTACTTACGAGGACAGAGTGGATGGACACATGGGTGGAAGTTAAGACCTATCATAGTGTAACTTTTCATACTGTTTGGATTTCTATACCATGCAAATGTGTTATATATTACTCATCAAAATATAAAGGTTAAAAAAATAGACTGAATAGAGAGATTTTCCCCCTACTTCCTCCTAAGTTTTAGCAGAAGCTTTCAACCTACCTCCTCGGAGATGGAGACCTAGAAGATTTCCTTTTGATGGTTTTTGATGTTCTTGGTGATCTGGAAGAACTCCTGCTCCTCCTCCTCCGCCTTTCCCTGAAAGTTAAAAATATATCATTTTAAAAAACAACAATTTAAAAGGTAATTCAAATATACAAAAGCAAAAGGGTCCTTAATGATCTCAAGTGAATGGTATTCTTTAGAGGCCAGTTTAAATTAATGACTTTCATGAAAATGTTCTACCATCTAATTTTTAGCAGGTCAAATTATGAACTATGAATTTTACAGACCAATGAAAACATTTTCTAAGATTTCATATTAGAAAGGGTAGAGGATCTCCTTTTCACCCGATTTATTTGGACAGTAATTTCTTGAGTACAAAAAGTATTAATGGATGTTTCAGATTCTCTCTCAAGCTAAACATATTCTTCCTCAGGATCTAAAGTATGTTTCATCCGATCCCTTGTCGTGCATCTAGCTCCCTGCTGCCCCACTGTGGATTACTGTGTAACAAGGTAACAGGCCCTTTTCAAGAAAAGAAAGGTAAGTGGGCTCGCAAAATGTGAACTTTTTAAACCCAAGTATTTAAAATATCTCTTTAAAAAGTATTTACATTGATTCATTTTACAAAGAAATTGCTTTGACCCTCCAACCTCCTACCACTTCATTACTACTGTTCTAGTCATTTAAAATTGAGCACACAGGCTGCTTAGATGTAAGGAAAATTATTTAAAGCCTGGAATTTAAATATGACAGAGTCAAAAATAATTAACTAGATTAAGTGTTTATTATTATTAAAAGACTATTTTGCTTAACATATTAGCAAATGATGCATACTCTAATAAATTACTTCATTTGTAGGGGTGGTCACCTTAGAAATAATGAATTTCAAGTTGTCTACTATTCAGGTGATGAGATATGAGGATATATTTAGTAAATGACTAATGTATCCAGTGATCTACCTCACAAGGAGCTCTGATAATTAGTGGTCACAGAGCTGAAAGAACCAAATCGTCTAGAATTCAAATTCTCTTTATTACCTGAGTAAGCTGATTCTAGGCGAATGAAACATTTTGTGTACGTTCTTCATCTATAAAATAAAAAACTAGACAATGCTCATATGTGGTATATATAGTAGATGTTAAGACCAAAACAGCTCAAGAACTTTGAGAACACAAATAAATCAATTCAAACTCTACCTAAGATTCTCCCTTCCATTACCCCACTTTATTTCCAAGTTACCCCCAAATTATACTTCCTAAGATGGAAATTACATAACGATATTCCATTTAATCAATGCCATTCTGTAGCAGCACCCCCTCATGCACCCTGGCACAAGAACTGGGAGTATTTTTTTCATAACACGAGAATGTTATCCCAGACTTCACATTTACACAGAATGGCTCCATCTTCATCAGCATTATGTAACTCTTTAATTGTTGTTCAGGAAGCACTATGTACAGGTGGACATCTAATAAACTACCAGGTGGTGTGAGAGCTAAGGCTGGAACAGACAGCAATCCAGAATGTCAGTTAGAAAGCAGCTGTCAGCTCCAGTATGCAGAACTCGAGTTGGTTAGGCTTATATTTAAATTTTAGTTCCACACCTAATCAGCTGCATGACTGGAATCTTATTATCTGAGTCTTAGTTTTTCCAACTGGAAAATGGAGACAATAACTCAAGCCTTGTAGTGTTGTTACGAAGATTTAGAGTAACACTGTAAAGTACTAAGCCTAGTGCCTGGTGCATAGCAGGTGCTCAGTAAGTATTTTCTCCTTCTCTTCCTTGGTTTCATCCTTATTGGTAATAATTTCAAGCATTAAAAATTTCTAAATATCAAATTGTTTCCTTAAAAACCTAGATTAGAAGACAACGTTGGAAATAAAAATATTAAGTATACTATTTTTCTGAACAGTTAACATATTTCCCATTCACTAAACATCAGAGCACCTGAAAGGAAGAAAAATGTTAAAAGATGAGAAATCGTTTCTCTTCTCAAAGTTCCTCTGAAAGCATGAAATATTCCAAACTGCTGAACTTTAGGAACTAACGTTAGTCACCATCTATTCCTCAGGCCCCAGAGGTTATTTAAGAACTTACTTAGGACTGAATGTGAACATTTGAACTTTCTTAAATATCAAGTGACTTAAAATGGCCCATGAAAACATTAAACATTTCAAAGTCATCTGGAAAAGTAAATTCAACTGAATTTAAAAGGAACCAAAACATTATATGGTGTTGTGAGGACAATGTCTAAACAATCATATAAACACAAAGGAATGTGTGAAACATAATATAATAACTGTGCTATAAAGATGCAGTCCACAAGGTTAATTAATACCCACAGCAAATGAATTTAATTCTTCAGGTTTTGGTTCAAAATGCTGAAATGTGGCAATGATCTATTGATTTGTAATCTATTAATACATTGTAATCTATTAATATATATTGTTGCTTTCAATATTATGCTTCTGAGGCATTTTTTAAAATTGGTACCAAGTGCTGGTTAGAGTCCTCAAAAAAAATCTCTAAAATAAGAAAGAGCTACTATACTACTATACTTC